CCCAAGGAGGAGTCCTCCTGGTGAACCTGAGGGGACCATGGGCTAGAGAAGGGTGCTTGCAATACCAGGAGTGGATGTGAGAAGCCAATCAGCAAAGGGACATGAGACTGGACAGCCTCTTGGAAAGCCCATGGGCTGGATCCAGTGCAGCCCTGTCCTGCTTTTTGTGCCATTGGAGATACTTCATTGTCCTGTCCAGCCTTGTCCTTGGCTACTGAGCAGTCAGGGCAGATGGAAAGGGGCTCAGCAGCAGTGATCCCCACTCAGCTGGGTCTGCTTCCCACCCTGACCAGCATGGCCCGTGCAGAGTCACCCCCTAGCCCCAGGGCACCACAACCTTCTTGCTCTGAGCTCAGGGTCCTGCAGGAAGCACCGAGGCCTTGAGGGCAGGGGTTTTTTTTTGGTGGGAGAGCAAACCAGGGGACTTGTTCAGGGAAAAGTATGTTCAGTGAAGGGCTGACAAGGAGGTGCCCAAATTCTCCTTCTCAGTCTTTACTGCTAGCACTTTTCTTCCACCTGCTGAAAAGGTCTCTGCTGCCTGGAGCTGTCCCTGCCAGTAGCTGCTTCTCTGTCCCTTTGTCTCCTCCTCTCTGTCCTCACAGGTACCATCCCACCGGCTGTGTGCTCATCTCTGCCCTGCAGACTGCTCCTGGCAGCAGGGTACTTCCCAGGGGCGTCTCTGTGTTGGCATGTCCTAAAGAGTAGATCAGATAAATGCTGAGGAGACCACACAAGTGATGGAGTTGCCTGTAGCCAAAGGAATGGGTGAAATAACTTTATCAGGTTCCTCACAGACCTACAGATCTCTCAGTGAAATGCTGTAGGAGTCTCCTTCTCTTGTCCACACCTGAGAGCTCCATCTGTATTCCTCCACAATCACAAGAGGAAACTTGAAAAAAAGCACTTTGCCTTTTAGGTAGCCCTTATCTTGATGTGCACTTTGAAAAGTCCCCTCAAAAATGTCCTGGGGTGATCTGCAGCTGTGAGCAGCCCTGCCCTACACAGCACCCTCTCAACAGCAGGACTCTGCCCTGCCAGGGCTTGCTCCTTCCAAGCACAGCTTCTCCCTGCAGCACTGTGAGGAGCTCCCCGCGCAGGCTGAGAGCTGACCCTGGCAGGCGGCAGAGTCCCTGCCCCGGCACACAGCCCCTGGAGTGCAGGGACCCTGCTGGGAAGGACAGCCCTGGCCACCCCTGGCTGCACACTCGCATTAACACTGCTACTGTCAGCCCCAGGGGAAGGCAGTCAACATGGCCTCTCAATCTGAGGGTGCAGCAGGGACGGCCCCTTTTGGAGCCTTATCTTCTACACTAGAGAAACTGCGAGAGTCCTCCTGATAGTTGTCATAGTTTGTGGGATGTGACAGCATTCATGTATCTTTCCGTAGCTGCATTTTCCTACACCCAGTGACTTATCATGTCAAGGACTGTGAATAATTCTGCTCCACTCAGCTCCCAGCATCCTCCCACCCCACACTGCCTTCAGCCTCTCTCTGCCTCGCTCCTCTCCCCTCGGTGCCTGCAGGCAGTGCCCTCAGCCCTGCTGTGCTTTGCAGAGGAGCTGCTCCTGGGCAGAGTTGTCTCTGTGAAGTGCTGCCTTGTTGCCATGAGCTCCCTCCATCCCAGGATCCCCGCCCAGATCAGCAGCAGAGGACAGCCCAAGGCAGCCTTTTTTCTGCTCGCTCTTGTCTCTCTCCAGGTGGGCTCCATCTCTACCACTTTTCCAAAATGCATGGCCAATTCCCTCTGGAACACCAGAGCCATCTTCAACTTGGAATGGCCAGTTCTTTTTCGTTCTCTTCTTGATCTCAGCAGAGTATTCTCTCCTCACTGTCATGTCCTATGACCGCTACATTACCATCTGCCAACCCCTGCACTACGAGACCCTCCTGGGCAGCAGAGCTTGTGTCCACATGGCAGCAGCTGCCCGGGGCTCTGGGTTTCTCAATGCTGTCCTGCACACGGCCAATACATTGTCACTACCCCTCTGCCAGGGCAATGTCCTGGGCCAGTTCTTCTGTGAAATCCCCCAGATCCTCAAGCTCTCCTGCTCACACTCCTACCTCAGGGAACTTGGGCTTCTTGTGCTTAGTGCCTGCTTGGGTTTTTTTGTTTGTTTGTTTGTTTTTTAATTGTTTTCTTCAGGCCTGTGCTGAGGATCCCCTCTAAGCAGGGACCACACAAAACCTTTTCCACATCCCCCTCACCTAGCTGTGGTTTCTGTCATTTTCCATTGCAAAGCTGAGCTCTGACTACAGTGACAGAATACAGGAATGTGGCTTGACAAGCACAGGGCCAGGGTGTTGTCTGGGATGTGAAAAGACTGACAAAAGAATCTTACACACAGCAATATCTTTCAGCACCGGCACCTTCTGCGCTGGGTATGTGCCTGACGTTTTCCATGGTGGAGCTTCTGTCTGGTTTTAGTGAGAGAGCGAGTGGACAGTTATGTGGTTAGAGAAGCACAGAGCAAGGGTGGTGGTTGGGATGTGAAAAGTCTGCCAAGGGAATGTGAGGGCCAGCAACAGTTTTCAGTCCTACAGTCTCCTGAGGTGATCTATGGCAAGAATGCACAGAGCACTTAGGCTTTATCATTTCTTCCCAGTTAGGCTCATTTCAGCCTCCAGCACAGTCAGCTTTTGGGACCCCCCTGTCACTCCAGAAATACAGATGGGTTCTGCTCTTCTATAATTTGATGGATGGCATTCGGGGGAACTGGGCGTCAGTGTCCACTAGATCCTCATAGTCCTGGGAGTCAGATTTTTATGGCCACCAAAGACACACAGTCCTGTAAACTCAATTCTCCCTTTTCTCTGCCTGGATGGGGGCATGGCACCTCTGATGCTTGTCATGATGACCCTGGTTCATCTTTGTCCCTTACCAAGCACACTGATTCTTATTTATTTATTTATTTATTTATATATATATTTCTTCTGTACAAGGACAATTGATACTGGCACAGGTTGATCCTCTAGTTCGGATGCATCCTCCATCACTGGTGTCTGAGTAGCTGCAGTTGCAGAGGTTGGAGTCATTACTGTGCCCTTCACCAGACTCTGAGTATCTGCAGTGCTTGTCATTGGTGTTTGAGTGCACCCTGCAGTGAGTGTTGTGGGGACTGGAGTAGCTGCAGTTCCCGTTGTCTCAGTCTGAGTCAATGCAGTATCTGTCTTTGGGGTCTGAGGAACTGAAGTGCTTTGTCATAGGTCTTGGAGAAGCCACAGTATTTGTCACCAGGGTTTGAAAGGGATGTTGTGGGGACTGGAGTAGCTGCAGTTCCCCTTGTCTCGGTCTGAGTCAATGCAGTTTCTGTCTTCGGGGTCCAAGGAGCTGCAGTGCTTTGTCATAGGTCTTGGAGGAGCCACAGTATTTGTCACCAGGGTTTGAAAG